CTAAACAACACCAGGTCTGCAGATCAGGACCCTTGAAAGGAGCAGGTTTGATATGGGGACTCCATCTCCTGAAGTGCAGCACTGGAGAAAGTCCCTTTAACCTGACCTAGCGATCTGGAGACTTGGGATTTAAAACCATGGTCCTTGTGACCCAGTCTACCAGGATCTCATTTCCTCAAATGGGTCATGAGTATCATTTGTGGTTCTTCTAGTAGTGAGAACACTACATTCTGAAGACGAAGTCTGTTTTATTTTGTTGCTGTTGTTGTTAAGTGTTATAGAGTTGGTTCCGACTCATAGTGACTCTATACAGGGTTTCTGAGGAGGGGCCATTGGGTTTGAACACCAGCCTTGTAGTTTAAACCAAGCTTGAGGCCCAGTGCTTATCCTACAGGACTTCTTAATGAATGCTAAATATATTCAATTTGAGGGAAAAAAAAAAAAAGAATCTGAAATATCCCTAGATCAGCTTCCTGAATCTTCTGTGTCTCGGTGACGCTAGCCAGAGACCTCTCCTGAGAGCCTTCACTTGCCGCCAACTCTTTTTTGAGTTAAAAATGCTTTTTTTTTATTTGTGATTAAAAACAATAAGAATTTAAGCAGAGTAGTATTTTAAGCCAGATAGAGCAAAGAAAGTCTTACTTGATATTTAAAATTCCAGTAATGTTTTCATAAATGCCTGTTAAAAACATAAACAATATTAAAGTCAGCAAAATGCCTTTCTTGGCTGACGCCTAGATTATTTTACCACTTAACCTGGTTACACAGTGATTTTTTTTCTGTCAGACTTGACTGACAACCAATTTATTCTTTAAGATAAATGAAGTCAGTGATGACTCACATAGTAGCATCTTGTGGAAAATATTCAAACTAAATTGAAAATGCTTTTTTAAATGTAGAAATCTATTGTTTCACAAGAAATTGTTTTTGTAAAACTACACGTTGGCTATGGCAATAGTAACTAAACTACATCCAACCCTGAAAATAGAAAAATCCCTGAAAAGAAACACATAATCTAGTTATAATATACCATATAAAGGCTATTTTCTTATTTTAAAAGTTCTCCTAGGGAGAGCGACTGTGTGCTGAAGACCTGGGGGGCACAGGGGAAGGATTGCATGGAGGGGATTGTAACCATGGCAATGAGATGATATACAATAGAATGAATGTAAAACTAATGTTGTCCCATGTAAACTATCACATAATTCACAATAAATCATTAAAAAAAAAAAAAGTTCTCCTGACATGAAGAAAGTCAAAACTTTCCATAGTTCATTTACTAGGCAATGCCACATAAAGTTATGTATGCAGTTAACATTATTTTGATCATGGCTTACGGTTATATTCAATACACAAAACACCTATATATAGAGGGCAGCCCTTGTTTTGGATGTCTGTTATAACAATATTTGCAGTTTCATTACAGAACACGTGTTTGTTACATTTGGTACAAAGCATGAATGCTCAGCACAGATTGGCACAAAACATGCAGTATGAGAACTCATTTCTAGCCAGCGTTACTGAAAAAGCCCTGTATAGTCCCAGTCCCGCTTCCTAATCATCCCTGTATCACAAATGACATTTAAAAAATGCTTCTTAACACGTTTCCCAGGGTAAGGATGCCTGAACAGCCAGTCAACTGGATGCGTGTTGGAAATGAGTCAGGATGGCAGACCCAGTGGTAGCAGGGACCACATGGGGGATGGGGGGCAGGGGGAGCTGACCCAGGCTCATAGTGCTCATGGCTAGTGGGGGGTCTTGTTGCTGCTGCCCCAGACAGCTTAACCTATGGAGCAGGGGTCCCCAGGCCACAGGCTGAGAGTGCTAGTCCCAAAGGCATTTTGGGTAGCAGGAGTGGGCAGCTGCCAGAAGCCCAAAAGGGGAGAAATGTCCAAAGAGGCAGGTATGGTTAGGTTCACAGCATCTGCAGGTAGCTCCTTGGGCAGGTTCATTTTACTAGAACTTCCCTTGGCCAGATCAAAACCTGGGTTGAGCTTGTGAAGTGACTGAGGCTCTTGCAGGGGCAAGTCCTCGAGCAGACTGATATTGCAAAATCCTTTAGTATCTGCTTTGAGGGGCAGATTTGCAAGCGGGGGGTATGAGGTAGAAGTGGTGTTGTACTTGTGATTCTGGAGGGCCGGAGGTGAGCTAGGAGAGACTGAGGGGAGGAGAGGGAGGAGGGGCTCTGGCAGGGGTTGCACTGGTTGGGAGACTGGTTCTGAGGGACTGTGTGTGTGGCTGTGTACCTCAACTGGCAAGCTACTTGCAAGCCCATTCTACACAGGTGCTCCTATAGGGAAAGGAGACTGAGGAGCAGCCTTCAGTTCAAACGGAGGCGAGATGGAGGGGAAGGTGCCCAAGAGGTCTTCATGCTACAGACTCTTTCATCAGCTCCTGTGAGTGTGTCTTCTTGGTATGCCTTGTCAGGTGGTCTTTGCACCCAAATCTCTGGGCACAAAACTGGCACAGGAAGTCCTTGCTACCTGTGTGGACCACCAGGTGGCGCCGCACGTCCTTCCTGGTGTTGGTGTAGAAGTATCTCTCGCAGTGGTCACATTGGTGCTTCTCCTTGGTTGCGGTTTTAGGTTTTTCTTCTGCGTGGGCTTTGAGGCGGTCTAGCAGCACTTCTGTGCTCCCTAGCTCCAAGGCACAGACCCCACTGCTGGCCGCATGGAGGGCTAGGTGCCTCTTGTAGCCCAACAGAGTGTTGTACTTCTTCCCACACTCCTCGCACACAAAAGCCATTTTTTGGGGATCATGAGTCTGAAGATGGTTTTTCAGATGGTCTTTCTGGTTGAATGTTTTCTCACAGTGAGCACACGGGTGAGATTTCTGGGGTGAATGGGTAGCCATGTGCCTCATTAATTTATATCTGGAAAGAAGGCTTTACCACAGTCTGGCTGCAAGCACTTTTAAGGCCGCTCCCTGGAGTGGGATTACTTTTGAGTGGTGTACTTCTCCAGGGTAAGAAATGTTTTACCACATAATCGGCAGGGGTAAGTGGCCATGGGCTTCGCTGCTCACATCTTCCTTTTCAGATGCGCCCACCAGCTGCTGTGCCATTTAAGCACAAACTGATGCCTGGTGCAGGCACATCAGCAGAGCCAGCATTGTGGTCCAGGCCCGTCTCTACCCAGACATGGCCTCAGTCACCACTGATGTGCTCCCTGAGCTTCCACATCCCAGCTTAAAACCAGTTTCAAGCCTAGGGGAGAATGTCTGAGGCCCGGATGAAATCCCAAAAGCAAGAAGGTAACCCGCATCACTAGAGCTGGGGTCTGTCCAGGATCACCAGGCTGTTCTTCTAAGGTTGAGGCACAGATGAGTTTAAGGTGTAATATGAAACAGAGCCCACCGCAGATATCAGAAATATCAATGCCCAATGATGGTTTTATTTAGGAAGGAAGAATCGTTCGCGGGGTTGGGAGCCCCTTGGAACTCAGGCGGGCTGCTCATGCGCGCCACCTCCGCGGTCATGATGGCGACCCGGAGAAGCGCCCTGGGCGCCCAGGCCCACAGTCGGCTGGCTTGGGCAGAGGCGCCGCTTTTTGTCCAAGCGTCCGTCCACCAGGAGAGCCGAGCAAGAATACAGCCCAGACGTGTCTAAATCAGGGCGTAGGGCATTCCCAATAGGCTGAATGACAAACAGCAGATGCCGCCGGTGTTCGCTGCCAGCAGCGGCGGGAAGAGGGCTGCGCTGAGGAGGCGGCGCACAGGCGGAGCCCCTCACATGCCTCCAACTCTTCATTGAAGAAGCCTGGGTTGCAGAGGGAGACTGGAGAGATACGCCACTCCTAAGAATTTTTACTCCCAAAGCCCAATGGGCATCCCAAGCTACTCAAAGTTCATCCTTGTTGGAGAACGACGGAGTAATCTTTCTTCCGAAATTCAATGCTCAATCATTGAGATGTCAGTACCTGTAAGACACCACAGGGTTTCAAGTCCCAGTACCCGTTCCCAGGATGTGCACAGAGGAACTGGCTACTCAGTGAGCTACACGTGCCCAACCAACCCTGGAAATGACAACTTTCAACAGTATCACCTCACAACCAGTCACCAGAACTCAGTGTAGTCATGCAGGCATTTACTGGGTAGAGCAAGCGGCACCAAGGACGGCAGAGAGATCGGGTACTTTTAGGGCAGGTCAGGAAGGTCAACCAAAAAGGACATTCTTGAGCTGAATTTTGAAAGATGCTTGGGATTTCCCAGAGAGAAGGGTCAGAGACATGGGAAGACTAGCTACCGTAAGGCACTTTTTTCAATTACCCTTTGGCTCTGTAGAAGCACAGAGTTTGTGTGGGTCAGGGTTGAAGCAGAGTATGTGGCCATGAAGAGAAAACTGGGAAACCATGCCAGAAAAAGTCTTACTTGCCACGCTAAGACATGCGGACTGAATTCTGGAAACCACGGGCAACAATTATTTTGAAGAAGTTATCAAAAAGTAATTTGTCTTTCCTAGATAAGCACTGGACTGCAAACCACAAGGTTGGCAGTTCAAACCCACCAGCTGCTCCTCGGAAACCTTATACAGGGTCACTATGAGTTGGAACACACTCAAAGACACTTAACAACAACCCAACATAAGTGTTTTAGGAAGAGCATAGAGTTAATTGGAAGAGATCCATATTTGTGCCCATTCCAAAGAGAGGTGACCCAACGGAATGCGGAAATCGTAGGACAATCTCTTTGATATCCCATGCAAGTAAAGTTTTACTAAAGGTAATACAGAAATGGCTGCAAGCATACATTGACAAAGAATTTCCAGAGGTTCAAGCTGGATTCAGAAGAGGCTGTGGAAAGAGGGATATCATTGCTGATGCCCAATTGATCTTGGCTGACAGCAGAGAATATCAGAAAGATGTTTTTTCCTGTGCTTTACTGACTACGCAAAGGCTTTTGATTGTGTGGATCATGACAAGCTATGGACAACATTGCAAAGTATGAGTATTCCAGAACACTTAATTTTGCTCATGAGGAATCTGTATATGGACCAAGAGGCAGTTGTTCGAACAGAACATGGCAACACTGAATGGTTTAAAATTAAGAAAGGTGTGCGACAAGGTTATATTCTTTCACCATACTTATTCAACCTGTATGCTGAGCAAATAATCTAAGATGGCTTATATGAAGAAAACGTGGCATCAGGATTGGAGGAA